TCACACAAGCCAGCCAGTTAGTTTCCGTGTCCTCTTTGTCTCCAGGACCCCGCAGCTGGAGACGCTGAGACCCTTGATCTCTGGCAGCTTCCTCTCATCTCCTATCCATCCCGTGTGATCTCTGGTTTGTCACTTTGATTAGCCATTTGGGGCATCGGGCTGTTGTCCCTGCCCCCCTCTGTGTCCCACCCCTCAGAGTGAGGGTGAGGCTGAGGTTTGGGGGGCCGCTGGGGCGCGGTGCTTGAGTAAGGGAGGCTCTGAGGCCCCCCCCAGCTGTGGGCTTGTGCCAAGACTGGCGATTGTCCTATGTGGAAGGATAGTGATGCACGCTTTGCAGGGAACACGGGAGGAGAATTGAGTGTGATGAAGGGAGGGATTCAGTCTCCATCCTTGTGGTGATTATTGCTGGGAGTGGCGCAAAGAGCGGGCTGGGCCGGCTGCCAGCTCCTCCCCAAGCTCAGGAAGCATGTGGCAGGGCCTCAGGGCAAAGGGGACAACTGGCTTTCCTGGAGTGGAGAGCCATGGCTGTTCCTCTGGTGGGTTTGGAGCTGGGCTGGGTGCGGGTGCCAGCCGCCGGCTTCACGTGCTGTGTGATTTGGGGTTGCCCACCCACTGCCCGGAGTGGAAGCGTCTCACCGAAGGTCACAAGGCCACCACTGGCAGAGCCAGGATGGGGTTCCAGGTGTCTTGACTTGGAGCCCGGTGCCTGGGCCCTAGCACCCCCCCAGCTGTCTGGGCTATTTTGGGCACCCTCTCCTGCCAGCTGTCTGCCGGCATCCCTGCCCAGAGTCTCGCTAAGCCGTCTGGTGGGGCAGCCAGCAGGGTGTCCTACATGCTTTCTGGGCTGAGGGTCCCAGGCCTTGTCCTTTTCCAGGGAGCACACCCCCATCACCTGTACCTCATTGCCTTCCTCCTACTCTGAGTGAGGGGCAGGTGAGAAGAGCTCCGTAAAAAGTCAATGAGGGAGTTAACTTTTCTCAAAACCCATTACCCTTTTTGCTTGCCACCTCCCATGTGAGTTTCATATCTGGCTCTGCGAGGCCTGCAGGCCGCCTCACGGCACTGCCCAGTGCAGCCATGGGGCCAGCACCCCTCCAGGCCGCCTGATGGCTCTGCCCAGTGCAGCCATGGGGCCAGCACCCCTCCAGGCCGCCTGATGGCTCTGCCCAGCAGAGCCATGGGGTCGCACCGCGGCCTCGCTGGAGTAAAGCATTGAATTTGATCTTCCCTCTGGGCTGTCGCCCCAAGGGCTCCGGCCAGTTCCTGCGCTCCTGCCCCCCAAACCCATTAGGGACCAGTTAGGTGCTAACTTGTGATCAGGATGTGAGTTCTGGGAAGCCCGGGGTGACCTCCAGGCCCAGCTGGAAAGATGTTCCCTTTTCTCATTTTCCCCTCTGTTTCATGTCTCTCCTCTCTCTGTTCGTGGATCTGTTCCTAGGGCACGGCAGTGCCGGCCTTCTGTCCTGCCCGCTGTCATTCCTCCTGGCCCTGAGGGGGTAGGGCTGCTCCTGGCTCCAAGCCCAGTGGGGCCGGCCTCCAGCAGGGTCACGAGGCTGGGCCTGCTTTACTCCAGAGCCGCCAGGCTCCCTGCCCCTTCTGGCCAGGCCACCAGGAGCCCCAGTGTGGAATGTGACCTTTTGGACCCTCTGGGTGCAGGCTGCACCCTCTGCTCCAACCCTTGAGAGGTGTCACTGCCACTCGGGGCCACCTGGGTCCAGTGCTGCCTCTCACTGGTGGCCTTGGGGCAGTCCTTGCCCCCTCTGAGCACAGCCCCCCGTAGACCTGTAGACAGGAGGGTGGACGATTGCTCTTTAAGTTCCTCTCTGATCTGGTGCCTTGGGGGAGTGGCTTTGGACCCCAGCATGGCCGCTCCCCCAGGGGCAGCTGGGGTCTCCCAGGCCGCCCTTGGCTACCTCCCATCTCTGGGGCCCCACTTCGGGCACTCAGGCTAACCTCCTGCCTAACGTGAGGTGGGTGACAGAGGTGACCTCTCAGGGTCTCCTAAGGCACCCAGGAAGTGGAAGACAGAAGTGTTGCTAGTACTGGCCCCACCCCAGCCTGGCTGGGCCTTGCCCTGACTAGATAGGATTGGACCGGTCCCTGCATCTCTCCCTGGGGGGCCTCCGTGTGAACACAGTTCACCCCAAGTTGCCACCTGGGCAGCCCTAGACTGGTAGACACCAGGTCCCAACACCTCTGGTAGCAGAGACCAGCTTAAAGAATCTTTCTTGTCCTCCTAAACTCTCCGGGAACTCCTGGGGACAGATGGAGAAAGCTACAGGTCTCCTGGCTGCCTCACAGGTAAGGGAGCAGGGCCCCGGGCAGGACACACAGCTCCCAGCTGGCCTGGCGGCCCGGCCGCCTCTGAGGAAGCTCCGAGCAGCTGGCCTGGCTCCTGGGTAATTTTAGCCGCAGATCCAACCCCATCACCACCCAGCATCAGAGCTCCATCCAAGTCCATCTCGACCCGGGGGACAGGCTGGCCAGGCAGTGGTGGGTGGACAGGGGCCCTGTAACCAGGGAGAACTTTGGCTCCCTTTTGTGCAAATCTTTGTTCTCTGCTGAGTCGGGTCATAGCCCCATTTCACGCACAGGTGGGAAAGTGGAGGCTGAGGTGTGAGGGTTTTGAGATCAGAAAGGCTACCACAGATTGGCTTGGTCAGCCTGGCTTCAGGTGACAGTTTACTTGGAGTGGGTGACCCTTACTCTCCTAGTGTGGTGGCCCACCCTCTTGGAGGGTCAAGCCTGAGGCCGCCAGAGGAGAGGTAAGTGGTGAAGGGCTCACTCCAAGCCCACCCCTCCATCCTCCGTCTGGCTTCTCCCTGCGTGACTTGTCACTCTACCTTGTCACCTCACTCCTGCAGAGGCTTCACCTCTGAGGACCCCTCCTCTCCTGCCAACCTCAGGCTGAGGAAAGAGCCATCCCCATCCCCACCTGGCCTCACTGGCCTGCCGGGGCCAGTCGCAGCTCCTCCCTGGCTCAGGAGAGGCTGCCGGAGAAGCTTCAAGGTTTGGCTCTGCTGGCCTCTTTCCTGCTCGAAAGCCAAGTGGCCAACACTGCCTTGGAGACCGACAGACAAGCTAACCCATTACCTCCACAGCCGTGTCTGGTCTCCCTTCTCACTCCCCAACTTCTGTGGAACCTGACACAAGTTTTCTAGATTGCACACATGGGCCCCGCCTGTGCTCTCACTGTCCAGCTTATGCCCTGCACCACCCCTCTCTCAGCCTCCCCTGAGCCCCACATGGGATCTGGTCTCTAAATTGTTGGCATCTCCCAAGCGCCGTCACGCCGCCTCCCTCAAGACTGTGAGCTCCTCGTGGGCAGGAATCATTGCCTCTCAATAAAAATAATGTTGCAAAGAAAAAAGGAACAGATATGTTGCTGTGAATTTGTCAAAGAGGTTCTTGACCCAGCAGGTGCCCTTCTGGCCAGGTGAGCCCAGAGGACCTGGAAGTCGTCCTTCTAACAGCCTGGGCCTGGCCCTCTGACCCTTTCCAGCTAAGGCTGTTTGTTGTCGTCTGCGGCTCCCACGGACGGTGGCTGCTGCCCTCTGGTGGTCAGGCCCTGCCTTGCACCCGCTGAAAACCTTACCCCGGCATTTTGGCAGTGCCAGGCTGGCAGTTTGCACCTCGAAGTGCAGTAATTTGATCCTTGTTGAGAATTTGAGAATCGGGGGTTTTGCCGATGGGGGAAGGGGATGCAACTGAGCAGGGCAAGTAGATCTGAATCTTGCCAACACTTCCTTTCAGAGGAAACAGGTCTTTCACCCCAACCATGCTGTAGGCCGGTTTGTTAGAAAAGGACTCTGCTAGCCCACCCGGAAGGAGTGGACTCCCGGCCATACCTTGTGCCTGCCTGCTTTGGGCCGGCTCTTGGGGCCCCTCGCTAGTTGTAACCACTGGCCTGGAGGGACGGTAAGCTCAGGGTGGCGGGGATGGTAGTACCTGCGTGTAGTAAGTGCTCAATAAATACTACTATTTGGACCTGGGGAATCGGGGAGAATTCCTGGGGTGAAGGCCACGTGGCTGCTGGGGAACGCTTTACATTTCTTAGTTTGTAGGGGATAGTATCAGTCTCCAAACTGCACGGAGGCCGGCCCCAAACGACCTCAGATGGTGTCCAACTGGGTTCAGCATGCATCTGACCCCTGCGGGAAAGGGCGCCAGCCCGCGTGTTTCGGGGTCGACGGGGCACCAGCCTGTTTGCAGCAGTTCACCTGCGCCATGAGCAGCCCGCGCTAAGACGAGCGCCCAGCAGAGGGCGCCAGACGCCCACCCTGCGGCCCCAGGAAGTGTGGGCGGAGACAGGTAAGCGGAACCCCTATTCCTTATTCTTGGTTCCCAATTCCGCACACACACAGACGCCCCGAGGGACAGACGAGGTGGGCGGACACGACCCCTGCCGTCAGCGTATTCCCCGACACCACCACTCCCACCTGGGGGAAACTGAGGCCAAAGGCAGGGTGGCCAGGGGCCACATCGCTGGACACAGCAAAGCCAAAAGGAGAAAGGGCTTTTCTCAAGACCGGCCCTTCGGCCCCCGCAGCTGTAGGTACAGCCCACCAATCACCGAGTCCTTACCCGATGGGGGAGTGGGGGGTTCGAGCCGGCCAATCAGAGAGTCCCTGCCGGAGAAACCTGCCAATCAGAGGCGCCCGGCGTGCAGCTGCGGAAACAGCCGGGTCTTGCCGGCGGGGGGCGCGCCATGACGCTTCGGGGAGGTGATGGGATTTGGGAGCTGCGCTTGAGACTACAGACACCTCTTTTTTCAGCTGCTTCAATTTCCCTGGGGCTGAGACCTGAACGTTGCCTGCACAGCTTCTTGTTGTTGTTGTTAGATGCCGTCACTAACAGGAAGGAAACTGAGGCTGGGAGGTGGGCCCGGGTGGCTGCCTGGCGGAGGCGGCGCGGCTGCGGAGGGCGGAGCTTCCCTTAGCCCGCCTCCAGCCCAGGCCCCGCCCCTGGTCGCACCCGGGTGCCCCAGCGCTGAGACCCGGCGCCGCTAGTGCTGCCGGCGCCGGGCTATGGATGCCCCTGGGGCCCCGGCCCCCACCGCCGCCCCGGGCAGGAAAGCACTGAAGATTGTGATCGTGGGCGACGGAGGCTGCGGCAAAACTTCGCTGCTGATGGTGTACAGCCAGGGCTCCTTCCCCGAGGTGAGACCCGCGGTGGGCTGCAGAGAGGTGGCCTGGGGGCCTCTTTTGAACCCACTGAGGGCGAAGGGCTCCCCTCAGCCCGTGCCCGCCCCCAGAGTCGGAATTCTAGGGTCTCTGGCGTCCTGAGCGCGGAGAGACGGCCTCCACCCACCCCAGGGCGTCCCCTCGGGAATTCCAGAGCCTAGTAGGGTGAGGGTGGTAGGGTTGCCCCCGGGCCCCGGGCCCCGGCGCCCCTTGGAAGAAACAGCTCAACCCCTTCTCCGACAGCACTACGCCCCGTCGGTGTTTGAGAAGTACACGGCCACCGTGACCGTGGGCAGCAAGGAGGTGACCCTGAACCTGTACGACACTGCCGGTGAGTACACCTGCATGCCAGGGGTTTCCCAGGGGTCCCACCGAAGGCTTTTCCCTGCCGGGGCTTCCCTCCTTACCAGCCTTTGCGAGGCCCTAGTCCCCCTCAGCTTCTCTGGGGTTTCAGTGGCCCCGTGTGTAAAAGGGGATGTTTGGATGTGCTGAGAGCCCACGGCCTGCCTGCTGTGGTTCTAGAAAACCGTGGGCGACACTTGTGCTCCACCCAGCTCCATGATTCTGTATGTTACATGTTGTGACGTTGTAAGGTTCTGTGGACTACAGATTGTAGGGTTCAGTGGGTGGTGTGTCTGGGTCCCACGGCTCCAGGCTATGCTGGATGGATCCCAATTCTGTGGCCTACTGTCCCAGCTTGGGGCTCCAGAATCCTGTGCGTTTGGGATTCCTTGGGCTACGGTCTGTGGTTCAGGTTTATCTGACCTCCTGTTTCAAGCCTATGGTCCAGGATTTGTGGCTTCAGTCCAGTGCTTTCCTGGTTCCTGGGAAGAAACCAGGCAATGTTAGATGATGACCGGAGGAGGGATGGCGTTCTGGGGCAGCAGGTAGGACCTACGGTTCTGTCGCCACCTGTAGCCCCTAATGCATGCAGATGTATGGTAATTGTGTAGCTGCTTCAGAGTTGGGCCGGCATGGCCAGTGGGAGGACTTGGGTAACACAGCTGGCCCTGGGGAGGCCTCAGTTCTGCCCTGGCTCTCCCTTGGTCTGAATCAACATTGGGGAGCAAAGGTCTGGGCCTCCAGGTGGAGCTCATCCAGCGTCCGTGACTCAGTGTTTAGTGAGTCTTTGTGGAACCACATCACATCATGGGGTGTCCCCTCCCCTGCCAGCTAAGCCTTGTTTGTGTGAGGTCAGGTCCCTGGCCAACCTCGGGCGGGTAGACCATTGCTTTCCTCACCTGTCCTGGGAGGAAAAGGAGCTGCCCTAAAACTCCTCTTCGCGTCCTGGGCTTTGGTTTCTTCACTCCATGGCCTACCCCTACAGTGGCTTCTGAGGATCACTCCTAGTTGGAAAGAAACCTGCAGCGCCCCACCACCACCACCACCACCACCCAGCACAGAACCAGGCCCCCAGCCTCAAGTGGAAAGTAACAGGCTCCAAAGAATTCCTGAGGGCATTTTGGGGTGCAATAAAAGCGAAAATGAATGCTTCTGTTCACAGTTGGTGCAGGGCTCTGCCCGGGGCCTTGGGAGACTCAGAGGGGAGATTCCTCTTCTTCCTCTGTCCTCAGATTCTGGCGGTTCGAGGCCAGGGCTGCCTCTTCCATCACACTGAGAGCAAGGACCACTTGGGGCCTTTCTGGCCTCACGCAGAGAATGATATTCAAAGAACATGGTAGTGTAGATTGGCGTGAAGGTTCCGGAATATTTGTACTTGGCATAAGGAAGGGCTGGTGGTCAGAGCTGCTGTGGGAGGAAGGAGGGGGGAGCTTCCTGGCAGCAGAGTCGTGCGAGTGAGTGTGACCACCTGGGAGATGACACTCCCTTCCACAGCATCCTGTTGGGGCCTAGCCACGCGCTGTGATGACGGGCAGACCTGGACAGACCGGGGCTTCCATGCCACCTCTACTGACAGTATGTCACTGGGGATGTCTGGCCTCAAAACCAGACCGGTTCCTGTTGAGTCAGTTCCAACTCGTGGTCACCCCGCGTCTTACAAACTAGACCTGCTCCAGGTTTCCTCAGCTGCAACATTTACAGATCACTGGCCTTTCTTTCATGGGACCACTGGGTAGGTTTGAACCGCCAGCATATTCAATTAGTAGTCCAACACATGAACCATGTGTACCAGGACCTTCCCTGGAAGGAAAGGGCTCAGTATATGTTACTTGTCATGGTGATTTCTAAACCCACCCCCACCCACCCCCCGTGGCCGCTCCAGCCCAGGCCTGTTCTCCGGAATCTGCCGTCCACACAACTGTGCTGACCCCAGCCCCGACTGGGAGGACGCCTGTTTGCCCTTTTTCCAGCAGCAGAAGAGCCACGCTGGGGTTGGAGGCCCTCGTGGCATTCTGGGCAGAGTAGACTGGCCTCACAGCCAGCACGACAGATCCAGAGGGGCTCCCAAGGGGGAAAGAAATACGGCTGCCCCCTAAAGGTGAACCGCTGTGAGTGGGCGAGGAACTTCCCAATCAGTGAGCAACGTTTGAGTGAGGTGGGGTCATTCCTTCCATCCCCACGGCCCAAACCAGGGCTGCCTAGAGCGAGCCTCCTGCCGTGATTGTTGAATGAATGAGTCAAATCTGAATGGCAGACTCTATGGGGGAGGACCTGTGTGAGGAAGATGATGGCAGTGATGTCTACCTTTAGGGTGGACAGAGACCTGGAGAGTATAGTGAATGACTAAAGAGAGGCTAAGGGTCTGAGAAGGAGCTCTGGTAGCACAGTGCCTAAGCCACTTGACTGCTAACCAGAAGGCTGGCGGTTCAAACCCACCAGCCACTCCTCGCAAGGAAGGTTGGGCAATCTACTTCCGTAGTGACACCATCTTGGAAACCCAAGGAGAGGTCACTATGAGTCGGGTCTGACTCGACGGCACATAACAACCACCACCAAGAGTCTGAGAGCAGTGGCTGAGCTAAAGATGAGTCTAGAAGAGGTTGTTACAGAAGGTTCTAGAACCTGCTGGGCTGAGCCCAGAAGGGACAACTTCCAACCCAGCAGTGACTGGAGCTGTGGCACAGGGGTGGCCCCTGAAGACTGAAGTTGTCCACATGCAGGACCGAGTGACTGCCCTGGGTCTGTGGGAGGCAGTCTAGCCGCTTGTCTCCATCCTGCGGAAGCAGTTACAGCAGTGGGAGGGGGATGGAGGGCTGAGGGAGTTCTCGGTACTCAGAGGTGAGAGGTGAGGGCGGGGGCCGTGAACACCCATTGCCCTAGCAGCCCCCCCCCCAGGCCGACACCCTCAGGGGCAGGAAGCTGTGGTAAAGTCTGAAGTTTCCCCAGCAGGGTGGGGGGTAGCATTCAGACACCAGCTAGAGACGTATTTCCTCTGGACTTGGGGTTCGGTCCAGGGTTGGGGAATGAGAGGATGGGTTGCCCCAGGGAGGCAGAGAGCAGTGGTTCTCAGCCTGAGATGGGTGTAGGAGTCGGGGGGCAGAGAGTGGCTGAGGAACTGGGGACAAGAGGGTGTCATGAGCCATAGAAGCGAGGAGCCCTGGAGGCTTAGGGGGCCACATGTGTGGGTTAATCAGAATGTGGCCTGAGCTTGAGGCTGGAGCCACTCAGCCTCAGTTACTCCTACCTCTGGGAAGGAAGTGCAGGTGGGCGGGCCCAGCAGGCCGAGTAAAAGTGGGTTCCTCTTCTGGCAGCTTCCCCTTCTCATGCTGCCCGCACCCCTCCCTTGACCGACACCCCGGTCTGGCCAGGAACCACCTGGCTTCAGTGTGCCCTCCAGCAGATTTAGGGACTGCTGTGGCCTGAGGACACCCCTTCTCTTCTCAAGCCAGCTCTTGGCCTCAGAGACCCCAAGCCCCAGGAAGATGGCTCTGGTGGCAAAGCTCCATCCCACAAAGGAAACAGCCCTGTGTGAGGAGACACCGCACTTCCGCCCCACCCTCCAGTCCCGTCAACCCCAGGAAGATGGCTGGCTTTGAGGGGACCTCGTCCCAGAGACCTGTCCACGTGAGGAGTAAATGCCCCCTTTGTGCACACTCCGAGGCTGTTTTGACATCGTGAGCTCATCTGAGACCAGGGTGAAGCCCCAGTGTGACTGGGCATGTGGCAGGGTGGCCTTCTTAAACCTTGGTGCTGTGCACTGGATTACTCTTACATGGCCTTTCTAGCCATGACTGGGTGGGGCTATGCAGATGAGGTGCTTAGGGCCCACCGTGGGGATTGGACAGCTTGCTAATAAGGCAAGTGAGGTGCCTGGATGGCAGTGTTGTGGGGTGGTGGGCCCTATGCAAATAAAACACATAGAACCGTAATGAAAGGACTGGCATATGGTCATACTGCTAGCCTTAAAATGAGCCAATCCAGACGTGGACGGGGGGCGGGGAGGCCCTCACTACCACCAAGAAAGACGAGAAAGGAGGGGCGTGTGGCCTTTACACCCAGGGTTCCCTGCACTAAGAACCTCCCAGACCCAGGACCCAGTTTAACACCTGAGATGATGAGAAGTAGCCGCAGAACCAGGACACTGGCCCAACAACGGTGCAGTGGGCTTCCTAGCCCATGGAGCAAGGCAATCACAGTGGGGTGCTTCCAGGCACTTGGCAGAGCTAGGGTCTCAGACACCCCCCCTCCAGCCAGAGAGCCGAGTACCTTCAGGCTAAGGCTTGCTGGCAGAGTGGGGTACCTCTAGGCACTTATCCATGGAGCCACAGAGCTCTGTAACACTTGCCAAAGCAGAGCAGAGGGCGGACTGGCCCAAGAGGCTCAAGAGGCTGAGAGGCCATGGGCCAGGGAGAGGCCTGGCACGGCCAAGAAGCTGTCCTGACTGAAGAGCTGTATCCTGAGTCATTACTGATCCTTAATTTTAACCTGGTACTTCCCTAATAAACCTCATAAGCATGAGTATTGTTTGTGAGTTCTGTGTGGCCATTGAAACAAATTATGGAACTCAGGAGAGAGGTAGAGAGGGCCATGAGGAGAGAGGGCTGGCATCAGGATTGGTAAGAAGGTTGGAGGTCCAAGGCTGGGGGTGTGTCTGACCTCCACCTCATAGGAATCAGCCTTGAGCTGTTGATCTTGACTCATCCTTTCCCCTTGTGAAGTTAGAGGAGGTCAGACATGCCTCCCCCCGCTCCCCCCCCCATCATTTTTATACCTGGCATCATTGTGGTTAAACTGGGGGGGGGGAATAGCCTGTGGTTAGAAAGGCCCCTAAAACTTGTGGGTATAAAGATCCCAGGTTAGAACCCCCATCCCTCCGTAAATTTCTGTTTCAATAGCAGCCACCATAGCAGTCCCACCCTGTGCCAAGCACGTCCCAGGCTACGAAGTCCTTTCCCTTCTGGTACCTGGGGCAGGGTTGTCACCCCTTTTACAGATAAGGAAACTGAGGGCCAGAGAGAGAAAGGTGCCAAGGTCATGGGATGTGCATCTGAGTGGCCTCCTGACTCAAGTGGGGGAGGATGTGGAGGGCACCCCCTCCTCCCAAGGAGACAGGTGGGCCAAGGTCACATGGAAGAACACAGTCCATGGCTTGGTCCCTGTGCAGAGGCCCACACTGAACCCTGGGGAAAAGCTGAGCCAGGCAGGAGTCAAGCCAGGAAGGCAACCTGGAGGAGGAACTGGGGTCTGGGCTGCCTGCCCACAGCTTCCCCAGAGTCCCTCTCTCTGGATGTCGGCAGCCATTATTTCCTCACCTGGCCAGGCCTGGGGCTTGAAGGGTGAATAGCTCCGTACCCTCTGGACGCAGGCTGGGAGAATTGTTGTCCGGTACTATGGATTTTCAAGTCATGGGGCCCTCCCTCGTGACAGAGTGGAACTGCCCCATAGGTTGTAATCTTTACAGAAACAGATTGTCAGGTCTTCTTTCTCGCAGGAGCCACTGGGTGGGTTCAAACCATCAACCTTTTGATTAGCAGCCCAGCACTTAATCGTTGCACCCCCGGAGTAGCCCAGTAATCCTACCAAATAATCTGTCATTGACAGAGCTTCCCCTTAGCTGTGTGATCTTGGCAACTCACTTTACCTCTCTGTGCCTGAGTTCCTGCATCTATAAAATGGGCATAACAGTGGTCCAACCATGTAGGGTCATCAGGAGGTGTGATCAGTTAAGGCAGGGAAAGGGCTTCAGACAGGCTGGCACCCGAGCGAGTGTTCCTCACTTGGTACCGTCCCTACTGTCTCTCTGGTCATTATCAAAGCTGACTTGCTTCATGCGTCCCTGTCTCACAGATGCGAAGGCTCACGTCCAGAGATTTTCCTTTCCAGTTGGCAAGGCTGGGAGGGCTTCCTGGAAGAATTGGCACTTGTTGAGTGGCCAGGCAGATGGTTGACCTTGGCACTGGAGACCAAGTTGGCATTGCCAGTATGACCTTGGCAAAGGTCCCCTCAGCCTCTGCTTTTTTGCTAACTTTGAAGGCAAAGAACTGTAACTTTCCCCACCCTGCTCACCTGGCAAGTGGCTGCTTGAATTAACACAGGTCACATGAGTGGCAGATGCCCTTGGAAATGCTAAAGGACTATGCTGGCCATCCCAGAAGAGCAAAGCTGTTATATTGTATGCTCTTGGCTTGTTCATTCATTCCAGGTGCCTGCTTGCCAGGCACTGTGCTAGACCCCAGGGACGCCACAGTGAACAGCACACAGGTGGCCCGTCCTTAAGATGGCTGATGTGCTCATGGGGGAGACAAACAGGAAACTAGCGTCACCTCGGGGTGGAACGTGCTGTGGAGAAAATAAAACCACGGCCCGGGGGTGGACTATGAAGGCGGCTGTGCCAACAGAGGTCTCTCGGAGAAGGGGGGAGTGAGTCCTGTTGTTACACGGGGAAAAATGTTCTAGAAGTGGGAAACACTCGCCCGGCAAGCGGCTCACCTCAGTGTTATGAGCACACTGTTCCACCTTGCTCCTTCGACCCCCAGCAGCCTGAAGTCTCACTTGTGTTCTCACGGACTGTCATGGCGGATCCAGGGGCACATGCCAGCCCTTACGTCTGCTGCCTTTGACAAAAACCAAAAACCATACCCACTGCCGTCAAGTCAGTTCTGACCCATAGTGACCCTATGTGACAGAGCAGAAGTGCCCCAATAGGGTTTCCAGAACTGTCAGTATTTACAAAAGCAGACTGCTACATCTTTCTGCTGCAGAGTGGGTAGTGGGTTTGAACCGTCAGGCTTTTGGTTAGTAGCCAAATGCTTAACTGCTGTGCCAGCAAGGCTTCTCTGCCTCTGACAAGAGTTCAGCAATTTCAAAGCAACCATCAACCAGTCTTTACTGAATGCCTAGTAGGTGCCAGGATTAGTTGTAAGGACAGACATGGTCCCTGTCCTCATGGTGCTGCCTGCTCTCATGATGTTTACCATGGATCAAGGAGACAGAAGATAAGTACCTATGTAAGTGGTGGGTGACAGGGAGGGAGTGGCGGGCAGGCTGGTGCCAGCCGGGCACCCACATAGCTGGGGGCGCGGGATTGGCTCCATGTGGTAGTTAAGTTTGAGTGTCAACTTGGCTGGGCCTGGTTGAGTGGCTGGGCAGCTGGTGGTAGTTACTCCCCATGAGGAGACTGGCAATCCACTCCATGGTGGGATCTACCACAAGCAGCTGAGTAGCTGCCTTTGGGATGTGGTCTGCTTCCTGTATATTAAGAGAAGCCTTGGGAATGGTCTCTAGCCT